GGTTAGAGAGAGTTGCTTCACTTACAGTCTGGGTCTTGTTAAGGGCTTTGCAGTTGCTGCACAGATCTGTGGCAGCGATGAGAGACACCTGAAAAGTCTGTTGTTGCTCAACATGCAAGTGTTTGCACACAGACAACAAACATTTCTTCCATTTCCTGTGTGTGTGTGGTATGACAGATGGGAGCATCCAATGCATTTGCTTTGAGCTTTATTGACCGATAAAGTTGTTATGTACATCAAGCAGCCTTTTAGCACATCCCTAGGGGCTTCTGATAGCAAGTACCCACATGTAAAGCGCCATCACTGGCAGTATTTGCTTTGTTCCAGTTGATTTTGTTTTATGGATATGATGAAGACATAAAACAGCACAGTCGCAAGAATAAAATGTTGGCATTGTGTGTTTCTGCAAACTATTGGCACATTACATCTGTGCATTTCCTACATAAGGTGTAGTTCAGATTACTTGAATGTGAAAAGAATGTCTTATCAGGAGGAGAAGCGGATGGTGGATGGCATGATACCTTGGTAAGATGACTAACCAACAAAAGCGGGTATTTTTTTAATGACAGTTTGGGACATTTTAAGCTGTTGCAATCAATTCAGGTATTTTAAGCCTAAAATTATGTTTCTTTTTAACTCTAACCAAGTGGCTTGTGTGCCTCAACCTAACCATGTGCAAACAGCAGAGATGCCACAAAATAAAATTGAACACTGAAATTTAAAGAATGGAAAGTTTCAACACTACATGTGAAATGTACAAATGTGACATATCCATGGTTGGTGGAAATGTACAACATTTATTCTGGCAACTGGGTTGCTTCAAAACAAAGCAAAAAAATAAAATAAAAAGACAAAAAGAATGTGAAAACAGTTCCATTATGTCTTATTTGTCACTGGTGGTAGCTCTCAAAGATTGATTAGAGACCCTTGATGATGTCATCAGTCAGCTTGGGCTTGAGAACTATCTATGGTATGCATCATGATGCCATTTTTTGGGTCATAAAACAGACTAAACTTGATTTAAAGATTTATTTGTTCTTTTTTGGGAGGGGGGGGGGGTTTAGGTATATTACCTTTAAGCAACGCCGTAAGAAATGACGAAAGGGAGTTATCATTTAAAATTTTAATAAAATGTAATACAGCACTCATGGAAAATACTCAAAATCATGTTTGTGTAAAATTCATGCCATTTGAAACTGAAAAACATTAAATATGAGCTCTTTCCATGACTTTGTTTGTCTGAATGTTCTCCTCAGACAACACTGTACCACTGTGGAACAGCCTATAAGCATGAATGATTTAAAGAGTGTACATTTAAATGCCAGTTTTCAGTTTCCTGGTGTGTCTTCTTGACAGACTGTATGTCACCACCTTTTCTTGTGTTGCTGCTGGTTGTTAGCAGCTTGTTGTCTTCAAAACTACTAAATTCTGATTCATCCTCACTAACAACACCTGGGAGTGCTAAATTTACCCCCTTCTTCTCCAAAGAGTCATATATACATACATACAGTCTGCTCTGCAGAGAGGAGTCACAAAGTGCACTGTTAAAGTCAACTATACAGTGTAATTGTCTGAACTTTATTGCCATTTACATTATTAAATGAATCTAGGTTAATCTGTAGAAATAAAAAGAAAATTATGATGACTGTTATGCATATGAACAGTATATAAACATAAATACTTAATACCAAAAACTGGGATTCCATAAAAAAATAAAATTACAGCAAGAAGTCAACAAAAACAGGAACACTAAAACACAGCCACAAAAAAAAAGCAAGACCTCTTGGCACAAGGAGTGATGACTGACTCAATCAATCAATCAATTTTATTTATAAAGCCCAATATCACAAATCACAATTTGATATCTGTCTTTGGTCAGACTAGTGAGGACTAGTCAGACTGATGCGTTGAGAACTGATGAAGCCGCTTGGATAAGAGGCGAAACGTCTTCTAGACAAAATCAAAGTCCAGTTGCCTACGATTTAATTGTTGCCAGAATGGGACTCCATAAAGGTACGATGTTGCTTCAAGGCAACATTTGCATTTTAACAATTTTCTATGAATTAATTATCAAATAAAGTACATTAAACAATTAGAAATTAAACTTTACTCATCTATTATTGTAATTTTTTCCCCCCGATTGTTAAATGACAGAAAAATACATTTTCAGACTATTTATGTGGAGAGAGTTGATGGAGCTGGATGATGCAAGCAAGGCGCCCAAAAAGGGGCTCAATATGGCCTTCAGGAAGTCATGTTATAGTATTAACAGTGCAAACGGTTTCCTTAGGGCCCTGGCTCTTTTGAAAGTATTGCAACATAATTTAGGATGTATTGTGTGAGTCTAAACGGCCAAAAATGGGTATGTTACCTTGAAGGGTCACGGTACCGTAGAGGGTAAACATGATTAAAAGAAAACCTGCATTACAAACTGAAGGTGTGGGATGTGGAAGAAGTGGACAGGAGACTTAGGAGGCAGCTAATGAAAGATGCTGTTGTGTTGCAATGTGGGAAATGTAGGATCCACTGTTTCTGGAGATTGACCTATACATAATATGTTTTGTCCTGAGAACTGGGGGTAGATATTCCTGGGCAAATACCAGGATCTCAGTTACTATTATTCAACCCTATCGTCGGATGTTTCTGCTCAGCTTGCTTTCAGAATTCAGATCATACTGTAAAATGAGAAATCAAAACCTGTGGGGAATGTCAAAATAATGACTGAAGTAGAAGATAACTAGGCTTGCATTCTGCAAAGGTGATTCCAGGTAATCTCTTTACTGAATAAAAAAGAGAAAGCACATGGCTTTGTAGTTTTAGATTTGTATGCATGTTTGTCTCTATAGATTCAAGCTGTATAGTTTTACTTCATACTGTCTGCACCTACAGGCCTTCAGATTTTTTTTTCCCTTCTAGAAGGAATGTATCTTAGTTGGTGATATTAGTATCTGTCGTTGTTTTCTCAGGTTCAGTTGGAGATTGTTTTCTAGGTTTATGGTTTTTGATTTTTCCTTGTAGCATTCAGTTATGTTTAGTGCTTGGTGCTTCCTGTTTTATTTTGTTATGCTTGCCTCATGTATTATGTCTTGCTTAACTTGCTGCCTTGTCTGTTTTTTACCACACCTGTGCTCCATGAGATTATTAGCTCCTGTGTCCAATTATCCCTGCTCTCCTTGTGTAGTAACTCCCTGTGTTCCCATTGTCTTTTGTCAGTCTCTCTTTCTGTCTTATTGTGTCATACGGATTACTGTTAATTTATCATGTTGATCCGTTCTGTACAACATCTATTGCACATCTGTCCGTCCTGGAAGAGGGATCCCTCCTCAGTTACTCTTCCTGAGGTTTCTACCATTTTTTTTGCCCCCGTTAAAGGGGTTTTTTGGGGAGTTTTTCCTTGATTGAGTCTGTCATCACTCCTTGTGCCAAGAGGTCTTGCTTCTTTTTGTGGCTGTGTTTTAGTGTTCCTGTTTTTGTTGACTTCTTGCTGTAATTTTATTTTTTGGACATTAAATCACTCGTTCCGTTTGGGTCCAAACCTGCTATTCCTGAATTCTGACACATATAGAGGGTTGTAACAAATTACTGTAACCTATGTTGCATTACTTCCTTAGAAAAAAGGTTGGTGATAGAGAATAAGTCAAGGGAGCACCAAAGTTATAGAACTGATTTGTCTGGACACTATGGATATCTGTACCAAATTTCACGGCAATCCATCCAACAGTTGTTATTTTTCAGTGTGGACCAGCAGACCAACATTGCCAAGGATACCAACAGCATTGATTTAGCAACTCATGAATGTTAGACATAGTTGGTGCTTCTCAAAGTCAGCTGAATTTAAGGAGGCCAGACGTCATCGAATCCCACCAAAATACTGTTCCAATGTCAAGGATCCCTCCTGCACTGTAACTTTTATTCTTGTATTTTATGACTGTCTTAGTGTTTTTTAACTTTTAATTCTCTATTGCCTAGTTCTTTAATGTACTGCTATGAAATGTCCTTTTATAACATTTCTTTTGCACCTTGTGTAGATGCTCTTGATGTTTTATGTAAAGCACTGAATTTTCAGCAACAAAGAATTGCTTTGTTGCTGAAAAATGTGCTATATAAATAAAGTTGCCTTGCCTTCGAATTCTACCGAGGACGGAGCACTTCCTTTAGAGAATTTTCAAGGATGCGTGTGTGTATCCTCAGCAGGTGTGAAGGACCCACAATTCTTTTTGCACAATTTGCCAGATTTGAAGGCAGGGCCTCCTCAGTGATGCACACATGGGCACTCGCTTGTCTGTTACAATGTGTGTTCTCTGAACGTTAGGAAGGAGTCTTGCCTAGCCTCTGAAGGATCTAGCTTGGAAGGACCCGTCCCATCAGGGAGACAAGCTTGACCTCCAAGTAATTAAATTACTCATATTGAACATTAATATAAGGGTGCCCCTACTTTAGAGTTAGCAACACAAAGTATAATGGAAGGGCTGACCGGCTCCTGATCTTTGTTTCTTGTTTGTTTTCGGTCAGAAATAAAGTTCCTCTTAAGTTGCACTAACTTGAAGTGTGTGTGTTGATGCTAAATGGCTAAAAGTTAAATGTATACAAAGTACGCCTGACTGATCGAAAAGACTGGAACATGAAAAACAATGACGTTATTTCCACTACTTCTTCTCTTTCCACAGTTAAGTGGAAATTTCCCTTGGTTTTTGTAATGGTGCCATATTTGTTCCGTTGGGAAACAAATCCTGATGAAGTCTGATCTCACTGCTCTTCCAAATACCCACAAAACACTCTCAGCTCAATGAGGGTATAATAACTGCTGTGCTAACATTGACATTTATTGCTGGGTTCTGATTTATTAGTTTGTTTTTCAGTTCTCAAAAAGGCCTCATCACAGAAAAAGTGAACGGATGGATGGATAAATTAATATTTTTGAGGGGAAACTGCACCAGAAGGGTTTCATTATGATTTGCTCTGTGTAAGAAATCACCCCATTCTTTTCTCCTTCTCTGCAGACACATCATGACTGAGCTGATTGAAACAGAGAGGCTATACGTGGAGGAACTGCAAAGCATCATGGAGGTACTGTATGTCTACTGGCTCCACATTTTTACACTGCGTCATAGAATACACTGTCAAGTTAGATTTTTCTATGCAGACCTTAATCTCTGCTCTCAACACTGTTTTTGAATGTTTAACATGCCACCTTAACTCATTAAAGGACCATTCCAGTAAATTACCACTTGGCTCTTATTTTGCATAGTCATTGGCTATTTACTAACATTCCCTTAATTTTCCATTGCTGTGAAAAAACAGTAACAAGAAACTGATAACATATTATTGATGTTTCATTTTTGCTCGCTTTCGGTTTTAATAATAATAATAATAATAATGATAATAATAATAATAAGACATTTTACAGTTTTTTAAAAGTCATAAAATAGAACAAGTCAGAATAAAAAACAGCAATAGTATAAAACACACAAACTTATACATTAAAAGCTAATTTAAAAAGGTGAGTTTTGAGCATAGTCTTGAATGTTGGGAGGTGCGTGCAGATACGGATGGGTTTGGGGAGTGAGTTCCAGAGGGAGGGGGCAGCGATGGAGAAGGCCCTGTCCCCCCAGGTTTGGTGCTTGGTCCGTGCAGGTAGTGAGAGGAGATTTCCTTTGGATGAGTGGAAGTCGCGGGAGGAGGTGTGGTGGTGGAGTAGGTGTGTGAGGTAGGAGGGGGCCTGGTTGTTGAGTGCTTTGTGTGTGTGAGGAGGAGGATTTTATGAGGGGCCGTACAAGACATATTTCATTCTCACCCTCTCACACACATACATTCTCCTTACACATACATATATTTTCACTCTCATATTTATACATATTCACTCACACATTCATATATTTTATGCACACATTCATACACTTTGCTCTCATGCACATGCAATCATGTATACATTTAATACTATAAGTAATATATGTATGTAAAAGGAAAATGTATGTATGTTGAAAGAAAATATATGTAAATGTAAGAGAAGAATGTATGCATGTGTGAGTGAGAGTATAGTGGAAATGGAAGGAGTATTGGAAATGGAAGGCAGTCCATTTATCGTCTACATCCGGTACAGTAGGTGGTGGTATACACCTAATGAGCAATGGTTGCAATGCGCCATAAAACCAAATGAAGAAGAAGAATTTATCATGCTGTGATTGGCTGAGAAGGATGTTATTGACGTGGGTCTGCTGTGGTGAAACTACAATGTTCTGAAGATGGACTACAAAATGCACACGATGAGAACGTATGGGGCGTACGTTCTCATTATGTTGTTTCATGCAGGATATATAAACGGTGAAAGATATTGTTTAATTACTAAGGTCAGAACTGAATTAAAAAAAGGAATATAGGCTACCAGCCACAAACTGAAACGAAATTGTCATATGGAGAATGTTTGCTCACACTCACCCATCTGAATCCCAAGTAGTAAAATGAATTAATGATATTACTAAAGGCTGGCAACAACGCTCAAATGAATAAATGACTGAAGCAAACTGAGCATATGTTACGGTGTGTGTCCCCTCCGTCCACAGCTGTGTTCAACTTGTTTGTTTTATAACATGATAAACAAATATTAAATGCATTATTTTGTTTTTCCGTGTGAATAAAAAAAAAACAATGGAAATCCACGTGCTTTTTCCATTTTCTTCTTCAAATGGGCAACTGGAGTAGAAATGAGACCACAACCAGTAATTAACTTGTGTTTGGCCTTTATTGTTAAATCAATATTATGTGCCCCTACTGCATAGATAGACAGATAAATAACAAATAATAATAATATTAATAATAAAAGGGACGATGCTGTGCCTCGTGCGTAAATGCGCACAATGTCTCTAACGCGCTTATTGTTTCTGCTGCGGGGTGGGGTGGGGTGGGGTGCTCGCTGCAGGTATTTAATAACCTCAGGCAGATATCTTTTAACATTACAGTCTTTTGTATTTTTTGTTATGATCCTTCCACTGTAGCTCTGCAGGGAAACACTGTACAGGGGAATATAAAGTGGGAAGCAGTAACTTCATTGATTATTTAAATCTCCAGATACGCCAAGTATATGCACATTTACGCACGAGGCACAGCAACGTTACTTCATTGATTATCTATCTATTTTTTTAGATTCAGTTTTATTTATATAGTGCGAAATCACAACAAAAGTCATCTCAGGGCACTTTACACATAGAGCAGGTCTAGATAATACTCTTGAATCTATCTATCTATCTATCTATCTATCTATCTATCTATCTATCTATCTAGGCCATAAGCATAGCCGATGCAGAGGGGCAGATAATATAGATATAACAATAAAGGCGAAAAACAAGTAGGTTTCTGGTTTTGGTTTAATTTCTATATCAATTAGCCATTTGAAGACGAAAATGGGAAAAGCACGTGAATTTCCGTTTTTTCTCATTCACACGAAAATCGGAAAATTAAAATGATGCATTGTATATTTGTATATTTGTTTATCCTGTTATAAAACAAGTTAAACAAAGCTGTGGACGGAGGGTACACCAATAGTAGCGAAACTTTCATAGTTCGCATCTAAGTTTAACATAATGTTGAAAGTTGAAAAAATATATATGAACAAGTTATGGCATGAGATGTATAATGCTTCATAAACAGCCGTAACTTAGATGGTGATCTCCTTCCTTTCTCGGTCATGTTGATCTTTTTCTTTCCTAATCATTTGAGTTTGTGAATGGTGCGTAAATATTGCTGCCACAATGACTTGTGGGATGGAATTATCTCCTTTCGCTTAGGAAGGTCCGATGTATCCTATGCTAAAGGAGATCTGAAAGGAAACATTGAACCTCCTTTCCTTAGTGTTTAGAGAATTCAAACAGCTCTTATCACGGTGGCCACTAAAATACTTCCGGGTCATTTCACTCAGCTAGGAACCTTCCTAAGCAAAAAAGATTTTCCGACCGCAGCCTATGTGTATGTGTTGAAAAGTAAAGTCTATATATATGTGAGATTGAAAATATATGTATGTAAAAGATGAGTGAAACTATATGTATTTGAGAGGAGAATGTATGTGTGTGAGAGAGAAAATATATGTATGTGTAAGGAGAATGTATGTGTGTGAGAGGGCCAGAATGAATTATGGCTTGTACGGCCCCTCATAGGATTTTGAACTGTATGCGATGTGTGATGGGGAGCCAGTGTAGGTTTTGGAGGACGGGGGTGATGTGGTCTCGGGAGTGGGTGTGGGTGAGCAGGCGGGCAACGGAGTTCTGGATGTATTGAAGTTTATTGAGGAGTTTGAATGATGAGCCATAGAGGATGCTATTGCAATAGTCCAGTCTGGATGTGATAAATGCGTGGATGAGGGTTTCTGCAGCAGAGAAGGTGAGTGAGGGGCGGAGACGGGTGATGTTCTTGAGGTGGAAGAAGGCAGTCCTGGTGGTGTGATTGTTTTGGTGGTCAAACCTTAGCTGGCTGTTGAAGATGATTCCTAGGTTGTGGCTGAGTGTTGAGGGAGACATAGTGCAGTTATCGAAAGTGAGGCAGAGGTTGTGGATGGCTTTGGTACTTCCATATAAGGTGGTTAAAATAATCTGGCTAATCTGGCCGCAGTGCCTCTTGCCCTGTTAGATATTAACGTAGCAATAAAAAGAATACCCAAATCGTAATAAATTAAATATGTCCTTTGCATTAAGATCAATATTTACCAGTACCAGCAACCAGTACCAGTGACATTTAACATGTCTGAATTAAGCATGGGGGTTGCATTGATGATGAAATTATATCTATACAATATATGCACATACATTGATCATCTTAAACTTTAAAACCACTGACAGGTGAAGTGAACAACAACATCAATCATCTTGTTATTATGGAATGTTCTGCTGGGAAACTTTAGGTCCTGGTGTAGACTAAGTACCCCCGCCATTGCAACAATACTCCCTGATGGCAGTGATCCCACTAGCAAGACAATGCACCATGCCACACCATAAAAACTGCTCAAGAATGGCAGAGTAACATGACAAAGAGCTTAAGGCATCCACCTGGCCTCCAAATTTCCCAGATCCCCATCTGATTGAGCAATTGTGGGACATGCTGGTACCCCAGAGGTACCACCTTTCCATAGGGGGGCAACCTTGGATTGGACTTGGCTCTGACATGTCATGGACACCGGACCTCTGAGGATGTCCTTGTGATGTCTGACACTGGATTATTGGTGGTGGTTTCTTTGAATTCTGTGGGTTGTAAGAAGGGATACCAGCACATCCCACGAATGTTTGATCAGGTTGGGGTCTGTGGAATTTCGAGGCCAGAGGCCAGTACTACAAAGCCAGTTCAACTTACCCAGGATATCTTCTCGTTATGTGGTTTGAATAACCCAAACACTGGCCGTCTGGATAACAAGTACAACGAAGCTGGTTATCAACTAGTTCAGTCAGCTCTTTCCTATCCAGCCACGTGTGTGTTCACGTGAAAGGGGTGGGGCTGTTAATTGCGTCATCGTCAGAACCGTGAATGAAGTAGGCTGCTTCAAATGATACATCATGAAACGGTAGTGAAAGTGTCTAAGAGACTAAGAGACAGTAAAATGTCAGTGGTGTGGGATACTCTCTAATCTTAAAATGGAAAATCTAGAAACACCCATTCAAAAATTCACCGTCATCCAAGACTTAAATTACGTGCGGGTATTACTGAGCTCTGGGCCTTTGTGACATTAGTATAGAGTATCTTCTGCTGTGTAGTTGGATGATGATAATACTACTCTGAATATGTCACATAAAATACTTTAAAGTAACACCAGACTGTTTCTGCTGCTGAAGTAAAGGGTGGAAAAGTAGTTAATGACTGATGAGGTCCATCTGACTGAAATGTCACATTTATAATAATGGGAGCCAATTGACAGTGTGTAGATTATTTTACTAATAAAATATTGTCTGTTTTATCCTAGTTCTCGTCACACAGGTGTCACAAGTTATTTTGAGCTGCAGTGATGGAATCAGAGTGTAAAAGTAGCAGCACTATCACTGCCGGCTAAAATAAATTTCAAATACTGCTCAAATCATGTGTTCAGTGTGTAAACGATCTCTGTGTTTGTTAGAAGCTCTGTTTTACAATCAGTGGAAACCAGTGGCGGCTGCTGGTCTTTTTAAACAGGGGAAGCTCACTTTAAGTTTACATCATAAAATTTGTCATATTGTAGTGAGGCAGTAACTTATAAATGGAACATTTAATTGAGGCTGTTTTTTCAACCACACTCATGCCATAGAACCACAGCAAAACACACCCTAATGATTTTCAGATGGGTTTAAACACCTGAACTGTGTCTACACCACCAGAACTGATTTTCTCTCAAAATAAGCTGCACCTTAACACTGGCCCAGGTAACAAACAGTGCTATATAGCAACATTCTCTGAACATTTTCAAATATTACTGAAACACATATTTATTTATATATGAATTCTGCCCTCCGCTCCTTTTGCAGAAAATGGTCTGTTGCCCTGTCATACCAGCTGCACACACACAACACAACTGCAGCTTTGTGATTCAACGAACAAACGAACTAACTAACGACACTAAACAGGGTACAAACTCAATAACGCAACATTTGTCTTTATTTACAGTGTGTGTTGTGTGTGTAATGTACAAATGGTGAAAATGAGCTATATCGTTTATGGAAATAAGGAACTCTGACAGAAGACTCCACTCACTGATGCCGGTGCTGTCAATCACAAAGGGGTTCCGCCTTTTAGACAATTCCTCCAATCATCATGTATACACCGTTTGTCCTCTCCCGCTTACCACTCCATTAGGTCCCAGGGAAGCTGAGCCTCCCTGGAAGTGACGATTTTGTCGCATTTCTCCAATGACCATGTTGCTTTGCTGCATGAAAAAAACCTGCTCAGCGCTGTCTCATAGGAATGCTTGGAAGCTCTGCGTCCACCGTGCTGACACGAGAATGTATGACAAGGAGGTCGCGTTTGAAAACTGGTGATAGACAGCTGACGTTTGAACATCATAGTCATGATGTTAAACACATCCTAGTGCACGTTTAATGCAATGTAAATTCTTATTTTAGTGTAAATTCAATAGTGCATATTTGACCATTTCTTCTATGGTTCAGCCTCCCTTGTTGTCTCAGAGCAATCGCCCCTGGTGGAAACAGAGCCCTGGAACAATGAAGTGATTCTACTGATCTATAACAATATATAGGCTCCTCTTTTTTACCTGTCACTCCGGACTTTCTTTCATGGATACTTTTTTCCTCAGTGATCTGACTGGTCAGATTTCTGGATGTTGACAGGTTGTGATTTCATACCCTGAGGTTAACCTGCTCTGGAGCAGGTTAGCTGTTGAGCTCAAGTTACCACAGTGATTTATTCCAGTAAAAAAAAGAACGAGCTTCATAGTACTGAAAACCCAGAGTTAACCCTGAAGGTACCTGCTAACTCCAAATCCAGCTTTGTAATACAGTCCTCAGCTTGATGGCTTGAGCTCTTTGTTACGTTCCTTGGACCATTCTTGCAGTTTCTGTGGTGTGGCATGGTGCATTGTCCTGTTGGGGGGCACTGCCAGTGAGGACTGCCATTTTAATGTACACCCAATGTACGTGGTCCGCAACAGTGTTTTTGTGGGTGGTGCGTGTCAAGTGGCATCCACATGAATGCCAGTGCCAAAAATTTCTCAGCAGAACATTGCATATATATATCTATAGATATATAGATATATATATGTATATGCATGTATCCATCAACAGAAAATCAGTAGGCAACTACTTTGATAATGGATTAGTTGTTTTTATTTGTCACACAAATATCAACACATTCTCGCTCCAGCCTTGTTACATATTGATGTTTGGTCATGGACTTTCTACATCGACATATGACGTACAAGGTACCCAGGGTGCCTTAGTTGTTGACATTCTTGGGTGCTGTGTCAACTTCTGCCTGTTACATGTCTGTTTTTACAGGAAATGGTCAGTTTGTATAAAGTCTCCTTCAAAAATAAATGCGCTACACTAGTACAACACCACCAGGCACTGTTGAACAATAAAGGTGACCGACTGCATATCATGCCGACTTGAAAGGACGTTTTTTTTTTGCTGATGCCGGAAGTCACAGACCAAGTGCCAGTTTTTAATGACTTCGGAGTGAGACAGGGTTGCAAACACATACAAACATTTGATTGTTTCCGATTCTAAAATCTGAGAGTTTGCTACTTCTCCTTGTTTTAACATTAAAGCAAATTAAATCTTTTGGTTTTGGACTGCTAGTCAGAGAAAACAAGATATCACCTTGTACTCTGAGAAACTGTGAGGAGCATTTCTTTTTTTTTTTTTTTACTGTTTTCCAATGTTTTATAGACGGAGCAATGAATTGATGAATATAGGGGGACTTAAATGATATAAATTGCATTTCCCTAACATTTGCAGACTCCCATAATATGACTTGCTAGTGACTTTCCTTTGACCTTCTCCGCCTTGTTACTCACAGATCTTTTAGACTCTACACCACTAGTTTTTGACACAGACTTTAGCTTAAAAACTTATCTCCAAGCCCAAGAAGAGATACCCCAGTGATGTCACATGAGCTGTTGTCTCAGACTAGGTTAGTGGAACCTATATTAACTCAGTGACTTTTTGCACTTTATGTTTTCACTGTGCTCTTATGATCTGAATGTTAACTGAGGAGTGACTACTTCTGTGAAGTCTTTTTTTTTTCTGTATTTCTTTCCCGACTGTTATTTATGGTATAAAGACGCAGATCTGTTGTACTTTATTTATTTTACTGTGCACTCATGATCTGATAAGTAAGGGACAGTGACCGAATGTCTTTGTACACTCTGTATATTTCTATTGTATATTTACAATTGTCTCTTAAACGAGGGACAGTTACTCAGAGTGTCTCTATGCACTTTGTTTACTCTACTTGGCACTCATGATCTGATTGTTAATTGAGGGACAGCTACTCAGCGACTTTTTTGTACTTTATTCTCCTTACTATGCACTTGTGATCTGATTGTTAATTGAGGGACAGTTACTCAGTGACTTTATGCAATTTTTATCCTGTGCATTTATGATCTAATTGTTAATTGAGAATTTGGTACTTACTCTGCCCCCTTATACACATATTTTTTACTGTTTACTGTGTCTTTCTTTATGTACACTTGTGATCTGATTGTTAATTGAGGGACAGTTACTCAGTGACTTTATGCAAGTCTTTTCCTGTGCATTTAAGATCTGATTGTTAATTGAGATTTTGGGACTTACTCTGCCCCCTCGTGCACACAGTTTTTACTGTTGTTCACAGTGCCTTTTTGTATGAACAGAGTATATTATGCATATGTATATCTGTTTTCGGTGCATCTACTGCTATTAGTTGTGACATACTTTCGTCAGATTGTTTTTTGTTTATTCTCTGCCTGTGAGTTGGTACTACATTTTATGGCAGAAGTGTTAAATATTTTTTTTCACACACCTGTTTCGAGTGTACTTAAACGGCACTTCCGTAACCATAGTTACACACTGAAGAAGACTTTCTGTCGAAACGTCTGTTGTGTACTGGTACTGCCATCCAAGCTGGTCGATTAAACTTACTAAAAGGACATTTGAGAGTGCTGGTGTTTTCCACCTTTTCACTGTTTTTGGCCGTGCACCTCACGAGTGTATTTAGTTTGAGAGGGCTTGCTTGTTCCTATGTGATCTCAGACTTGACAAAGACTTAACAAACTTGTAGATGTAAGTCCCCCACCAAGTATCTAATTGAATACATTCCATGCCATTTTATCCTTAAATCAAACAGACATAACTACATGTACTGTACATATCCATGTTTTAGTGATTGTTAAACATACATTAGTGTGGAGTTATCTGAAATACAAAAATAATGATAGAAGAAACTCAAATGACTTGTCTTTGATTTCTGACTGTGATGCAGCTCTTGGTATTCGATTATATAATCTCAGTTGAGAAATTCTTAATGCAAATAGTCTCCAATCCAGACATTCAATAGCTCCATGACTACTGGTGCATCCCTGGGATCAGTAACCTCATTGACTGCCTTTTAGTAAAAAGAGCTCTGCAGTTCTTTTCCTCATAAATCCAACCTCAGACTCCTGTCAGTGTATGAACTTTATGTGATCTCGTGGGTTGAATAAATTATATGATACAGAGTATGGTATGGTAGTCTATAATTCATACTCATCACCCATAGGTGTTGATTACACTAGGGTGGGCCGAGGTTTAGAATCTCTGTTTCTCTGATTGTGTCAGGGTGGCTTATTTTGCTCTCTGCTTTCTTTTTCTTGTTCACTGTCTTATCATCCTCCTCCTCCCCCTCTTTCCCAGGGTTATTTTGCAGAGCTGGATAACTCAGAGCTCAGCCATCTCATCCCCCCGTCCCTGGAGAACAAAAGGGATGTGCTGTTTGGCAACCTGCCAGAGATATATGAATTTCACAATAGGTAGGTGGAATGCATTTCATACATCATTCTGCTATAATATATATTGAAAACACTACTATCTGTAATAAACAAGACTTACCACAGGATAAAATGGTCAGAATCAGGTGAAAAAAAAATGACTTTGCTTAGCTCCTGATCAGTCTTTTGATATTGAGTATCTGCCAACCAAATCTAAACCAACATTTTTTTTCTTCATTAGAATACTGAAAAAATATCAAAGCCATTTAAATGAGAACAGCACTTTAGCATTGCTTGAGGAAACAGAAGCTGCATCTCAAGCTTTCCTGGAACGTTTTGTACAGTGTGTTGTACTATGCAGTCTAATATCTGTGCAAACGAGTGTCGGTGAAGATCTGCTGTGACAGCAGTCAGAAAGCTTGTCTTTATCCTCAGTGTCAACTCAATACAAAGTTCAGCTGCAGTTTAACAGCAGCACCTGAGCCTTGTTGGTAGTCGTTTAGTGTCATTTTCAGTGACATTTAGCAGGTGAGGCAGAACTCTCTGGAGCTGCTGTTGAATAAAAAATTGCAACCAAACTTTACTAATTTCCTCAACTTCAGTATCTATTTAAGTCTAGGAGTCTTTTACTTATGCCAGGAAAGTGGGGGCCTTTACATGTCTGTGCCCAGGGGCCAGTTCTCTCATAGTTCATCCATGGTTCTGAGCACAGTCTAATTTTACATCAGAAGCCACTTTGGAGAAATATACTTGCACAAAGTATGACAAAACTTTGGTGAAGTATCTGACAGCTTGAAAAGAATTGTTTACTAATTTCCTCCATAAACTGGATGATGTTAGTTTGTGTAGGTGTAAGTGACAATTCAAATAACATCACAATTAACAATGTTCAATTAACATACCTTGAACAGTGTCAAAAACTGTAAGTTCCACAAAGGAAGAGTTTGTGGCAAATCCTCTAGAAAAGTTTTCAAATTCCCACTAGAATCTGAATTTGGCAACATGAACACCAAGCAGGCATTTCAGAAGCTAAAGACCCTTACTGGATGCAAACCCAAACCCAACCTTAATGCAATAATGGACCAAGAATCCTTTGTGAAAGAACCAAATTCATTCTATGTCCGCTTTGATACCCAGGACTCCTCAACTGTATGTGAATAATGTCTGAGAGCTCTCCCCCAAGGAGGGGGTATGGTGCCAGCTTAGCCATTGTAAACTAGGTAAGGCCACGGGGCCTGACAGCATCCCAGTAAGAGTGCTGAAGAACTTTCACAGAACTTTCATAAATTTTTCACTCACTCCTCTGCAAATCCTACCAGACTGCCACAATTCTTACCCCCTGGAAAACTGCTATCATAATCTCTGCACCCAAAAAACCTTGGCCCACAGAACTCAACCACTATCGCCCCACCACCCTCATATCTATAATATTAAAGTGCCTGAAGAAGCTGCTGCTAAACATCATCCTGCCAGTTGTCACCCCACAACTGGACCCCCTCCAAATTGCCTATGAAGCTAAGAGGGACACAGAGGATGTTGTGGCCTGCCCGCTGCACCTCCACCTCCAGCACCTTGATTCTCCAGGCACCTTCATCAGGATCCTCTTCATGGACTTCAGCTCTGCTTTTAACACCATCAAAAGGCACCTGATGATCTGGAAGCTAGACCATCATAATATTCCCCCCTGTCTTGTCCACCTTATGCGCAATTTCCCTAAGAGACAGACTGCAAGCTGTGCAGGTGGGCACAACTACGTCACCAGCACTCACCACTAACACTGGAGCACCACAGGGTTGTGTGTTGAGTCCATGTCTATACACACTTTGTACCAATGAATGGACTGGTGCAACCATTGCACCATTCCATCACCTACCATTACTTACCTCAAATTACCCAGAAGCACAGCCATTCTTGCTCACAGACAACAACTCTGCCCTGGATTATCACAAGACAGTTGCCAACTTCACCTAGTTGTGCGAGGTAAGCCATCTTCAGCTCAGTTTCAGCAAAACAAAGGAAATAATACTTGTTTCCCTCTCACCCCCACATCCCATTCTCATCAATAACCAAACAGTTGAAATAGCTTACAGTTTCGCATACCTCTGAGCAGTGTCAATTTTGTTGATCAAAACTATGAAATTTTTTTTTTTGTCAACAACTTTTTTCCATGACAAAAATGAGCCGATGATGAGCTAAAAAAAAAAAAAAAAGATCCGACTGGCCTCTCTGGGCTAAGGAAATCATAAACAGTCTGGCAGACGTGCAGAAAACCATCAGAGAGACCCTGCCAGTAATTCAACAGACAACAGCCAAAACTGAGGCAGATTTAGTAAGATATCTAGTAAAGCCGAACAAGTAATGACACTGCACCTAGATGAAATATGTTAAGAAAAAGTAAAGATGTTGGTTAATTTCAGATATTTTAGCAAGTTCTCTAGAAATGGTTGTGATTCTTCCAGTTGTAGAGCTGTCAAATAGTGTTGTAAAAAAGTAAATCTACTGAATACATCACATATCTAGTAAAGCCAGACTATCATGTTATTATTATTATTATTATTGGTGGGAAATTATAACAGAGGAATATATTTGCCGTTTTAATATCAAGAACACTTTCGTGTTTTTGTGTGTACAGTACATTGTTGAATCAGGGAATCCATGTGTCCACCATGACAAAGGATCCTAATTGACTAATTACGTTAGCATTAGTGACGACTAGAGCTAAAAATGCTTAACGGAGATTGTTACAGTGTGTTACAGGGCGCACAAGAGAGGACTCATGATTTATTATTATTATTTTTTAATTTCTATACCACAAAAGACTCTTCACTTGACATCGCTGTCTCCATTGTCTGTCGTTTACAAACCTGGCAACCTGTAGAATTGAAGAGTGGAGTGAGAGCGGGCCAGTGTGAGTGCGACACCTACTGACCGGGAAGTATGAATCCTATATCTATCACCTTTAACAGTGAGATCGATAAGTCAGAATTTACAATGAACCTGGGTACAAATCCTAGTTGTCTCAGAATAGTTATTTGTGGTGTCAAAGTTTTTGAGAGCAGAGAGATGTTGGGCTTTTCAAATGATAATCGGTAAGTATTTGTTCATAAATAACCCCTTAAACCTGTCAAACACTGTTGGAGAAATGACAGTTTGTAAGTGTGCAAAACATTTTTTGTCAAAAAAATTATTTGTCAAAAAAGTGAAATTTTTCACCTTGATTCTAATTTCTGATACATGAATTAGCCTAACTGGATTAGTTTATAGATAGAGAACATATTGAAACCATAATGATTAAAAGTTGACTAAAATGTTTTGAATTTTCATCAAATTAAACTATCAAGGATAAAAATGACTAAAATGTGACTAAGACTAAAAAGCATTTTCGTCTCAGCCAGCACACTGATGACATCGTAGGAGGAGCCACCAAAGACTGTCAGCCATCCGCAAGCTTAAAAGACTCTATGTTCCTCCCCATTTCCTCCCATTGTGGTACCAGAGCATTATTCAGCTCAGCCTATACTGTACTGTTCCATCTGCTTCTTTCACATATTATCAGTCATATGTTGTGCTAGTTACTGAAAAACAGTAACTAGTTACCATTACTAGTTACTTCATTAAAAAGTAACTTAGTTAGTAACTCAGTTACTAAAACCAAAAAGTAATGCGTTACTGAGAAAAGTAACTTTTTAGTTAGATGCTCTGGTAAGAATTGTTCATATACCTCTATCTGACTTGACTATCTTTTATTGTTTAGGGCTAAAATGTTTTAGTGAAAAGGAACTTAAGTTTGTGAAGGAATACTGCATGTTGCGCGCCGTTTTAAAACCTGGCCAAAAATAACGGAGTAACACACCATTTGGTAACGGTAACTGAGTTACTCAATTTAAAAACTAATGCGTTAGTATTAGTTACTGCCAAAACTAACGGCGTTACTGTAATGCCTTGTTAATAAAGCGTTATAGTAACGCGTTATTAGCAACGCATTACAGTAACGCCGTTAGTTTTGGCACTATAACGCTTTACTGCCCAACACTGTCGGTCACTAACAGAGCCAAACTTAAACACACTTAACCAACACTGCTGCTAGGATATTTGGTCTTCTCATTCTGAACCTCACAAAGTTAAACATCATGGCCATTGCACGCCTTGCTACCTCAATAGAACAAGACCTCAAACACTCACTGAATCACCATCTCATCCCACTGTCCTCCAAGCACAGGTACAGAGTGCTGAGGTGCAGAAGGGCCTGCTTTGGGAGGAGCCTGATCCCCACAGCTTTAACCACCTTAAATAATAGGCCTCACTGAAAAGGCCTGAGTGTGCACTCCTGTCTGTGTCTCTACTGTGATGTTGTCCATAATGTTATTGTGTGCTGTTGTATTTGCTGTTGTCTGATAATGTAGAGTGCTGGGAAAAAGAATCTTCCCTCAGGGACAATACATTCTAAGTCTAAGGTTGTGCCCATCTGTTCATCAGTAGTTTAAAAGTAAGTGTTGCAACTCATAATGTAATAATGGCTCATAATGTAATAACGGGTCATAATGTAATAACTTAAATGTAATAAAAGTTCATAATGTAATAATCGGCTCATAATATAATAAAATCATGAGCACATAACGTAATAATGGCTTTGCGCATAATGTAATAATGTAATAACCTATTACATTATGAGCCTTACTGGCGTCGCTCATAATGTAATAACAGTTCATAATGTAATAACGGCTCATAATGTAATAACTTAAATGTAATAAAAGTTCATAATGTAATAATCGGCTCATAATGTAATAAAATCATGAGCACATAATGTAATAATGGCTTTGCGCATAATGTAATAATGTAATAACCTATTACATTATGTGCCTTACTGGTGTCGCTCATAATGTAATAACAGTTCATAATATAATAATAGCTCATATTGTGAGAAAACTGCTGCATTATCATCATTTTTACATCTTAAAGGGGCAAATAAAGCAAACTGCATGGGTTTCAGCACATTAGTAAACTAAATTAGTGAAACCAAGAATTATTTAATCGTAATTGCA